TTTTTTTTAAAATGAAAACGGAAAATCTCAGTTTTCAAAAATACCCGTGGACGTAGCCATAGTCATTGACATCTTGGCTATTGAGTTTCCTTAGATCATGGCATCATTTGTTGCTTTTTGATATCTTTTGAAGCCTACTTCATTTTGTCAGAGAGGTGTTTTAACATTTTTTTTTTTTTTTTTTTTTTTTTTTTAGAGGGGACAAACACTTTTCCATGGGACTATATAAAGTCTCAGATAAAAATCAAAATACCAGCAGACCACAAACCGAACCCGGTGCTGCAATTTGACCCTTTCTACATGTTATGCATCTGTTCATAGAGTAGATATTTGTGTATTGCTCAGTTAATTTTCTGTTTGTTCACTTGGTTTTTCGCTCTCATTACTGTTTTTTTGATTGTCTGCCTTTTGTTCTTGTCGCTAAAGAATAATTTTGTAATTCACAGATCGAGTATGTCAGCAGCAAGGACTCTCCCTCTGGGTGCCCTTCCAAAATGCAGCCACAGCTGTCACTAATCTGTATAAAGGCAAGTAAAATGATACTGTTAACCATTATGTGGTTCAGCCTTTTTATAGCATTTTATATGTACAAGTTGCGATTGTTGTGTCCAGAGATACTGAAATTAGGCGTCCTTGTATGTCATCAGAGAGTATGGAGGCCCGCCAGCGGAGCTATGACCTGGGCATCCACTTAGGCTATCAGCGCAGGAATAAAGAGGTGATTGCATGGGCGAAAAAACGCAGAAGAACTATCAGACGAGAAGAACTCATTAGCTTCCTGTGTGGCAAAGTTCCACCTCCTCGTACAGCTCGCGCCCCACCCAGAGTTTCCATGGTATCTGCGAGCAGACCGTCACCTCCGGAGACTGGCAGCTCAGTGGAGACCGACCTGCAACCCTTTAGAGAGGCCATCGCACTGCATGGTTAGCCAAAGCACCTGAACGCTTTATGAAGTTGCAAGGCTCGAATTCATATAAGTTGTCTTATTCCTTTTTCTCTTTTTTCCCCATCCCTTCTTTTCCAGGCCTTAGTGGTGCCATGGCCAGCATCTCTGTGCGTTCTGGTCCTCCTGGTTCCCCAACTCACCCTGCACAGTCTCTCAGTCGTCGTAGGAACGGGCTTCATGATGTGGACCTCAACACCTTCATAGCTGAGGAGATGGCACTCCATTTAGATTCCACCACCAATCGTAAACGAGGCCCTGCCCCCTGTAGTGATGTCATCACAGACTCACCCACGCATAAACGTAACCGGATGCTCTGAACTCTTCCCACACCACTGATCCCTCCTCTGTCTGCTCCTCAGTGGCCAACTGGACAGCCGATGGGGACTCACGCCTTGGCCAACCACTGAAATCTTCCTTAGTCGCAATGCTACAAATAAAGAAAAAACTGTTCTCAGCGTACATATTTAGCCCCTCCTTTAACCCACTCATTTTCTCAGCAGGAAATTTGGTGTTGTCTCACACGTCCTCTCAGTGGTAGAGTTCTGTTCCTTTTAGCAGATTTACTTTCCTGTTTGTTAGCCCCCTGTCGATCTGATACCAAGGCAAGCACACGTTACACTTGAAGTTCTCGACGTGCAGAATGTTCAGTTGAGATAGTGGTTTTTTTTGGGGGGGGTGGGGGTTCTGGCCGGGCTCCTTTGTGCTTCACATTCAGTGATCAGATGGACCAGACTGTTGCCTGCAGTTTGCGGTTATCTTCCCCTCTTTCCTCAGGCATACTTCCTCCTCTTTTGAGTGCTGGCCAAACCAGACTGAATCCGGGCTCCTTGGGAGGCCAAACTGCCTCCCTGCCGCGTGGCTCAACTCAAAACGCTTTTCAGCGTGTGCATCTCATTCTGCTGCTCTGTGTGTTTGTGTATCTGACAGCAGAACTGCCACTTACTGTGTCGTACTTGTCTTCGCCTTTGAGAAAGCTGCTACAGTATCTCTGGTTTTTGTGCAACAAAGAGTGTGTGAGCGCGCGTGTACGCTTGTGGACGCAGGGTTCTGGCAAATCCAGTTTCCACTTGACAATTTTCTCTTTTATGAAATTCATCCCATTTTATTTTTCTTCAGTTGCTCTTTACAGTCCAAGCCAGGGTTTTATCACGAAGCAGGTCATTCATATCCACACAGATAAGTGGGGTGACGGGGTGGGGAAAGTGAGATGCATCCTATGTCTTTTCTCTCTGCATTTTCTTTTTCTAACCATGCTGTTACCTGTTGTAACGTTACAAATAATACAAATGCGCTACGCACAGTTTCCATATCAGCGTCCAGGAGAACTCAATACAACACAGGCTCTCAATTTTTTTTGCATTACAAGCAGTAACAGTGTTTCAAAGGCTGCATCTTTGTTTGCATATGACCCAACAGTAACTTGGAGACTGTTGCCAATAACTCGTCTCTTGTTTTACAACCCTTTCACACGTGTGACTTCAGCTTTAAATCTAGAAAATTACAGGGGGCAGCTGCCTGTGAACTAGTGGAGGGCCGATGGCTGTGATATTTTACTTTAGCCCGCTCATGGACTATTGGGTGTGCTGAGTCAACAAGGCACTTGTTTTTGCTGATTTCACACTGCTTTGTGATACAATCTTGTGTAATGTGTGTACATAACATGTAGGTGCTGTTATATGTGGTACATTATTGTAAAAAGGAGTGCAAATCCATTGGGATGTCCATGTACAATAACAATTCTGACATTAAAGAACAGTACAAGTGTTCAACTTGTTTGAGTTTTCTCACAGTTACGTTCATTGTGTTTAGTGCAGGATGAGCTTTTCTCGTTTCTGTGACATTTTAATAAAATGCCTCAGTTGTTGGTCATAAAAGAACACTAAAGGGTAAGACGAAGTGGAAAAACCTGAGCCTTATTAGCTGTTGCAGTGCTACTCTGTTAACTCGTGCCTTTTTCATTTGATACCAAGAGCAGAAGAATAAAGGATCATCTGAATGCTGCGCTCAGTCTGCAGAAGCAGGTTACCTCAGTTTGTTAACATTGTGCAGTTCATTGTTGCCACCACATGGGGGTGACAAACTACATGCTACTGCTTTAAGAGTTTTAAGCAGACACTTCCATGACAGGAGTTTGTTTTTTATTAAAACAAACTCGTTAATCTAGAAGAAATTCTTACATGCAAATTTGTAAATTGGCAGCATTTACACACAGGGAGACGTGTTGAAGGGCAAACAAAGATAAACAACAAATATGAATACCAGGGGAAGAACAAGCTGCAAGTGAGCAATGCTAGTTCTGCATTTGACGAGGAACCAGGAAAAAGTTAACAGCAGGATATTTTTTATTTTTTTTTATTTTTTAAAAACAACTTTTTATTCTTGTAAGATTTCTCAACCTGGTAATTAGATTTTTTTTCAGTTCACACAGTGAATGTAGAATATGCTTTTTGTCTCACTCTAACATCAGAAATAATATCATTCTAGAATAGAATAACTTTTTATTGTCACTGTTACAAGAACACCGAAAGGCAGTTTGGTATTTCTCCATGTGTGTGAAGTACACAGTAACAGACAAATTTACATTTACACAAGAGTTCTAGTGTTTCATCGGTTACGTGAACTAAAAATTTTTTTGTCTACCTGCAACAAAACAAACTGGAGGTTTCCTGGTTACTTAACCACATTTGGCATCAAAGGTGTGAGAGTTGCAAAGGACATAAGTTTGATCCACTTTTGAATCCACCAAAAGACACACAAACCACAAAGGCTAACCTATTTCTCTTATAGCAGTTAAGATGCCATTAGTGGTGACTCACTGTGTTAGTCTGCAGCTGACAGACTGCTGCACATAGCTGATGAGCAGAAGTAGTAATGCACTTAGTTCATCGAGACAGTGGCATCATTTAACACGAGGGAAAAATGAGATTAGAGCAACGGAAGGGAATCAAGAACCGGTGCCAAATCGTCCCATCCACTGGCACCAGTACTTCCAAGCTTATCATTTCCTTTTATCAGTGCTGGCATGTTTTCATGACAGCTGCACACTGCAAACTAATGATGTCAGGCTCAGCAAAGCTTTCGGAAACCTGAGTCACTCATGCGTCCTGCTTTTTGTGTTTACAGACTGGGAGATAGTAAAACACTGGCACACACAAACACACACACTGTATAAAGAATCAATAAGGGAGCTGATAAAGAATCAGACCTTTAAACAGTATTGATGAAGGCATTAGTGTCAATAAAACCTTATCGATACCCTCCTCTTATTGTCATGGACAGACTGTCATGAATATCTGACACTTTTTAAAGCTTAGACCTTTACTGATACAGTTTTGTGTGTCTTTTTTCAGCCTTTTTTGTGTTTCATGCAGCCAAGATAAACAGCACCGAAACCATGAAACATTCTTCTCCCCTCGCCTTCCTCCACCATCATTTCAATCAACACACAAACTCTTCTCTCTGTACAGTTTACGTTCCATCTCCATTAAACACTCAGTGCTTATACTTTTGGTTGTTTTGTTTTTTTTTTTGTTGCCATTTTCACTTAACTTTTTCTATTTTTCTTTTGTACTTTTATACCCGCAGGCAGCATTACCAAATCTGACAGCATTTCACCTTTGCAAAGCACAGGTGAGACAGGTACAGATAAGAAATCCCCAGTTATGAGGGCCACTGACTCACTTCATAAGCTTGTCTGTTATTACACTATTATTTTTATGCGTACATGGATCCCGATCAATGTTCCCTCTAAACTGCTGGCACGGTCTCTGCGCACAGAAAATCTGTGTTGCACACACACACACACAAATCTAACCTGAATTGAAATTAAAATGAAAACTTTAACAATTCTGTTTTGCAGTGTTAGTCAGTAAGTGACTGGCTGCTCCCATATGGGATTAGAACG